GCCGGAATTTGAGTGCGGGCTCGCGAGGCTGAGACGCCGATATAAATGTTCCCAGAGTCAAATTTGCACGCACGGAACGATACCAATTAGCGTCGCTGCGATGCGCTGCCACCGCCACCACCACAACCAGAGGCACACCCAGGGGAGGGGGGGGGGCAATATGTAAATTTGGTCGCCCCCGCTCCCCCCTTACCTCCTCAAGAACGTCCATGGACGTAAAACGCGCACTGCTGAATTCCATCTGGAACAGTCCAGTCTGTGATGCTGTTGCGACGATCACTTTGGCCACGCCAAAATCCATCTCGCCTTATTCTGGTCTTCAAACCGCTCGCAAAGAATGTGGAATTTCCACCGATGGCTCGGCAGGGCTGTAAACAAGAGACGAGCACCGGGGCCTCGATGGTAACTTGAGTCGGGAATCACTGCGCACTTTGATCGGTTCATACGATCACAGCAATGTGCAATGATGTAGAGGATCATTGTCGAGTGATTGGTATCTTGTAGCTCTAACGGCAGTGCCTTAAGGCGATACAACCGACCCCGAGCCAGCCTAGCGGCGTTCCTCGAAACATCGAGTGAGAAATACTCCCTCGCCGTCTGTCACGGCTTGGGGGAGTTGGCGTGGTGATCTTCTCGAATGTGTTGACGTGTCTCTGGCTTCTCCTGTTTCCTCCGCAGGTGCTGCAACGATCATAGGTGAGAAGTCATGGCCAAACATCCCCAAGGTGTCACTTCACCAAACAACGTTGACCAGAGTACGGTCAATGCTATGATGAAGGTTCATTGCCCGAAACTTCGCCTATTGTATGTTTTTTTCTTTATTTCCAGGCTACACACATCGGTATTGACGAACGTGTTGCGTTTGTCGTTGTTTGTTCTTGTGCCAACGCAGCAGCAGCAGGCAATTTGTTGAATATAACACTCGTGTCGTTGAAAACCAATGTGGAGGGCGAGGCGGAGGGAATGTGCGAGCTGACAGTAACAGCTGGGGAGAGAGAAGCTGTAGGCGTGACCTACAGATGCGACATCTGCATCACGCGCGCTCGACGGAAAAGTGCGAGCGACAACCAGGGACTTAATTTCAGCTTGGAGCTGCCCGGAGCTGAGCTCCTGAAAATACCGTGTGTGTGTGTGTTTGGCGACCCGGGTCCGATTCCCCCTCACGGCCAACACCAGTGACGATTATCTGAACCGGTCCTGGGCCTCCCCTAGGTCGACTCAGCCTCAAATGAGTACCTGGAGCGGTGGATAAAAACATTGGCACTAGGGAAACAAAGGCGGTTGGGCGTGGTGCTGGCCACCCACCCCCTCGTGTACCGTTCCGGCCTTCATAGGTGCTCGCTAACAGCACTTGCCCCTACAGTCTGTTAAGGCTATACGGGGGATCTTTGTCTTTGTTTGCGGTGTGTGTCTTCAACGACAGCCTGGGCAGGTCGAACAAATCCTCCACCCCCAGCATGCTCCCCGAATAAAACACTGTCCCAGGGAAATACTGTACCGTGACGATATCTTTGCCGTCTTCATAAACGTGCGAGTGCGTGTGTGTATGCTTGTGAAACGTGGACCCCCTTTGATGGAACATCTGCGCCGGTTATAAACATTCAGGCTAGCATGCCTACGATCCATCCTGGGTTTAACCAGGCTGGATTGTGTGAGGAGCTCACAAATCCTTGAAAGATCTGGATACATTTCCGTCAATGAGCTCTTCCGGCAGGCAAGGCTGCGTTGGCTCGGTGATGTATCCCGCATGCACAGCCACCGCATGCCCAAGCAGCTTTTGTTTGGCCGCATAGAGGAGGCTAAACAAACGGGCATGACACGGGCTGGAGAAGAGATGGACTGATGTGCTACTGGAGGAAGTGGAGCTGAGTGGACTTGCCAACGACTGGTATCAGCGGTGTCAAGATCGACCTCTATAGATGAGGCTCATGAAGGACGCTGCTGGGCAGTTGGAGGCAATCGCCCTTCAGCAACAACAGAGAGCAGAGGAGCGACGCTCACAACAACGAGCGGAGCGCCGGGTGGATAAAATGCAGCAAGTTGGCACAGTAGAGGGTACAGCTGGTGCATTTACCGGTCATCTCAGTCAGCCAACCCATGGCACCTGGGTCTGTCAGCAAGCCCTCACACTTCACGTGGCCTCAAAGTGCACCTGGCCTGGCACAGGCGCCGTGGTGACGTCACCGTCACTTCGTGGCGAATGACGGTTATGTGTATCCGTGTGTAAATGCCATCAGTAAGCGATTATCTGAACCGGTCCTGGGTCTCCCCTAGGTCGACTCAGCCCTTGAATGACTGCGTGGGTGCACCGTGTAAACATCGTTCCTGAGGGAGACAAAGGCGTCGGGCCCGAGCGTGGTGATCCCGGCCACGACCGCACAACAACACAACCGCCTCCATTCGCCATGCCGGCCGTCATCAAGTACTAGAAGTGATGGGCGGCTGGGATTTGTCGCCTTGTGTTTTTCCATTGTCTAACTAGTGGCACCCCCCCGCTCCCCCGCAAGTTATTCCTATCGTCACGGGTATATAGAGTCCGTGGCTTTGGCTCAGCGTTGGCACAGCGTTGTCACCCGATGTCGGTTCTAACGCGCGTGGCACATTTTGGCGGAGCGCTTATTTACACAGCTCGGGGTGTTCCCACGAAGCAAAGGGGGCGAATTAAACAAGAGCTCGTCATCGTGATCGTCGTCATCGTCGCCATCGTGATCGTCGCCATCGTGATCGTCACCATCGTGATCGTCATCATCGTGATCGTCGTCATCGTGATCGTCATCATCGTGATCGTCGTCATCGTGATCATCGTCATCGTGATCGTCGTCATCATGATCGTGACCATCGTGATCGTCGCCGTCGTGATCGTCGCCGTAGTGATCGTCGTCATCGTGACCATCGTGATGATCGTCGCTGTAGCTACAGCTACGGTACAAGCGTCGCTGGCAGATCTAGTCGATATTGGGAGAGAGTTGTAAGACTGGCTTCAGAAAGGGTCGGGTAAATCCACAAAATGAAAGTATAATTTACACAATGTATAAGAATTAGCAGGGGTTTTGATACGTGTGTGTCAATGTGTACGTTCACGTGTGCCTATATTCACGCGTGTGTGCATATTTCTGTGTTCGTGTGCGTCCACGTGTGTTTGGGGGGTGTGTTTTCAACTGTGTGTGTGTGGTGTTCCAGCATGCTGGCATGTTCATCTATTCGGGTATGTATGCGTGTTCACGGTTGTATTCACGTGTGTCTATGCATATGTGTGTGTGTGTGTACTTAGGATAATGTGTGCGTGTTAATTTATGCATATCGTCTTGTATCGACGCGTGACCATGTCTGTGTGTTCATGTGTGTTCCTGCTTTTCCGCACTAAGCTTCAGGTCTTCTTGGCCACGGTCATTCCCTCCCTTCTCTACGCTTGCGAAACGTGGACCCCCTTAATGGAACATCTTCGCCGGTTAGAAACATTTAGGCTAGCCTGCCTACGATCCATCCTGGGTTTGACCAGGCTGGATTGTGTGAGGAGCTCACAAATCTTTGAAAGATCTGGGCAAGGTCCCATCGGTGAGCTCCTCCGGCAGGCAAGGCTGCGTTGGCTGGGTCATGTAGCCCGCATGCCCAGCCACCGCATGCCGAAACAGCTTTTGTTCGGCCGGATCGAGGGGGCTAAACGGGCGCGGCACGGGCTAGAGAAGAGATGGAGTGATGTGGTACAGGAGGACGTGAAGCTGAGTGGACTTGCCGAAGACTGGTACTAGCGGTGTCAAGATCGGCCTCTGTGGAGCAGACTCGTGAAGGACGCTACTGGGCATTTGGAGGCAGTCGCCCTCCAACAACAACGGAGGGCGGAGGAGCGACGCTCACGAGCGGAGCGCCGGGTGGCTAAAGCACAGCAGGTTGGCACAGTAGGGGGCACAGGTGGTGCATCAGCCAGTCATTTCAGTCATCTTAGTCAGTCGACCCGTGGCACTTGGGTCTGCCCCGTGACCTCCTGCCCGCGGGCGTTCGACACTTCACGTGGCCTCAAGGTGCACATGGCCTGGCACAAGCGTCGTGGTGACGTCACCGCCACTTAGTGGCGAATGGCGGTTGTTGTTGTTCCTGCTTATGTCCCTATTTGTTCGAGTACTTGATTTGTTTTACTGCGTGTGTCCATACATGCGTACTCATGTATGTGTGTCTGTGTTCACCTGCACTCCTGTGTTTGCGCATGTGTGTGTGTGTACGCGTCGATCAATCTGTGCTATCTTCGTGTTTGCGCCCTCATGTGTGATGTGTGCATGTGTCTTTGTTTGCGAGTGCGTTCATGTCTACGTTCATGTGTTCACACCGCGCCGGTCCGTGTATGCGTAGATCGCGCGTGTGTTCACGCGTATGACATCTGTTCGCGCGAGTTACTCGGCGTGGCTTCGTGATGCACGTGCGCGGCCGGCTTTGATGTTGAAAACGTGTCAATATCTCCTGACTGGCACAAGAGCGCTGCTAATTGCCAGAGCTGGCAGGGAGTACAGGCAGAGGGCATTCTCATGGGATTGGGGTCAGTGTACCCAGTTAGGGTCAATCGAAGGCTTTGATTGAGATCTCACTTAGTCCTGGAACATATCTATTATATATACAGCGAGAGCGAGAGCTCTGATCTCGTATGTAAGTGACATCCTAAACACCGTGATTCTCAACACCCGAGCCCGACGACAAGCGGGTGGTAATGCCTTCCCCAGCAAGAGGATTTTTGGCAGGATATCAGTGTCCGTCAGTGTTTGTCTGTGTGTGGCTGGGCGGTGTGTGGCAGGGCGGTGTGTGGCTAGCAGTGTGTGGCTAGAGGTGTGTGGCTAGCGGTAGTGTAGCGTTGCGAGCCCAGAGTCCCGAGTTCGATTCCCAGCTCACGGCCAACACCAGTTGACGGTTATCTGAACCGGTCCCTGGCCTCTCATAGCCTCGAATGAGTACCTGGTGCTGTGTGTAAACATCTCCATTAGGGAGACAAAGGCGGTCGGGCCCGGAGCTTACCACCCACCACCCTCCAGCACGTGCCGGCCTTCATAGGTGCTCGCTAAGAGCACTTGCCCCAACATAGTCTGTGAAGGCTATACGGGAGATATTTGTCTTTGCGGATGTGAGTACAGGCAGAAGCATGCGCGTGGCACCGTGCGCACCGCACGTGAGGCTCCACGTGTGTCCGTGCGTAAAAAGTGAGTGTGCGTGCGGATGCGTGTAGTTGTTCTGTTGTTGTTGTGTTGCTGTTGTTGCTTAAGGAGAAGAGCAGGAGCCCTGGCTCTCAAAGCTGGCTGCACGCCCTGCCCACTGTGCCACGAGGGAAGGGGGCACAGCGAGTGGCAGAGGAACGCACAAGCAGTGTCACCCAGCAGTGACACACGCACCAACACGTACACACGCACACACACGTGGACGAACACAGACGCGCACGCAGTGACACACATACATACACGCACACACACATAGATGCATAAACACGCACATATACGCGCACACACACACACACACAGTCCGATAATACAATGAAAGTAAACGCCATGGGGTACCACAAGTAATGGATAGTGACCCGCCCATTAAGCATCCCGAAAAATGCATGAGATCGACACACACGTGCACGTGAATATGCACGTAGGGAGAGAGACACACACATACACACGCAGACAGGCACGTCACAGAGCCGTCATACACACGCGCATTTACACGCAGATACATGTACACAGATACTGACACGCATGTATGACAGCGCACACACACACACGCACATACAAAAGATACAAAGACACGCAGATATTCACACACGCACGCACACAGGCACAAACATGGATGTATGTGTACGCACACATGCAACATATGCGCACGCACATATACAATAACACACAGTTGGAAGTACACAAACACACACATGCAAACGTGCTTAAAAATAAACACAGACAACATGAACAGGGACACACACACGTGACACACAAATGCAAATACACAAACACGCACACACCCACAAAGACATGCACACACACATGCACACATGCACACGTACACACACACATGCACACGTACACACACACATGCACACGTACACACACACGTACACACGTACACGCATACACACACATGCACACGTACACACGCACGCAAAGAAATTAAAAGGGCGAGGTACAATGGGGATGAGAGCGATGCGATGCGGATGAGCGATGGAACGGGACCCGGCGCGTCGTCAGTCGGTTGGGCAAATCGAGAGAGAGAATGAGTGAGATGAAAGATAATAAATCATAGAGGAGGGAGGGGAGGGAGGGGACACAGAGACAGGTGTTAATACTCCACACAGGACGAGCATCACTTGTCCCTGGCTTAAGACGATGAACAACAATTGCTTTTTGTCTCTCTTTATAAAAAAATAAATATATACGCGAAATACACTTTGTATTAAAAACTGTTGCGTTGTTATTATTAAAACAGAGGGAGAGAGGAAAGTCACACCGAAACCAAAACTGTCTGCTGCAGGGGAAAGGTTTATATTGACAGTAGCGTATTATCGGAATACACACCAATATTTGAGCCAAAGTCTTTCAAAATATCCCAGTGGCAGAACCGACTTGCACACTGAAACATTAGAAGCACAGCGAGAGATATGATTGGCACCTGCACGCGAATCTACGTTGACATGCGAACAAACCTCAAAGAATAGTCACTCACTGCTGCTCGCTGTTGTTTCATGTTTTTCGAACTTGTTTGTGTGTTTGGGGTCATTCGTGTGGTTGATGTGCGCGCACGTGTGTGTGTGTGTCTTTGTCTTTGTGTGTCGATGTCAATGAGTACCTGGTGCGGTGTGTAAACATCGCCACTGGACAAAGGCGGTCGGGCGTGTTGCTGGCCATTAACAACATTCATAGGTGCTCGCTAACAGGACTTGCCCCAACAGTCTGTTAAGGTTACACGGGGGATCATTGTATTTATCTGTGTCTGCACTGGTTAGTACAGACGTCGACGGTAGTGCACAGGTTCGCGCGCTGCGCTACGAACCTGGAGACCCCAGTTCGATTTCCGCTCACGGCCAGCACCAGTGCCGATTATCGGAACAGGGCCTGGTCCTCCTCTAGGTCGACTCAGTCTCAAATGAGTACCTGGTGCGGTGTGTAGTAAACATCGCTATTGTGGAGACAAAGGCGGTCGGGCGTGGTGCTGGCCACCCACCTCTCTCTAGTGAGTGCCGGCCTTCATAGGTGCTCGCTGACAGCTAACAACCACCACAGTCTGTCAAGGCTACATGGGGGGTATCTGTCTTTGTAGGAGGTGCCATTAAACCATCAGGTCCCACCAGTCCCCCCTCCCAACCACACTCCACTGGCTGCAAGGGAATGGTGTTAAACGATAAGTCTGTATACAGCAACGAACGCCCTCTCTCGCCGAATTGATTCGTGAATCGTGAGCTCGATAATTCAACGTGAAATCGATTAATTGGGCATAATTTCGCATCCAGCGTGCATGTCTATTGGTACACGTGTACACGCACGTGCGTACACGTGCGTGTGCATGTGCATACACGTGTGAGCGCGTACAGACGTATATGTGTGTTCATACACGTGCGTACTCGAGTACACGTGTCAGCATGTACAAGTACACGTGCGTGCGCGTGCACAAGTCATCGAATGAATGAGTGCGTCACTTTGTTTCTGTGTCACGTGAGCGCCGACTGCGAAGCCAGACGTCACAGCGGCGAGAATCTAAACGGTGCCGGCTCTGCGTGCCGATGGCCTCGCGGCTGACCCTGCGTCCGACCCACCTCAGCACTGGGCCGCACTCTGCGTGACACGTCAGCTGATGCGCTTGAGATTATTATTATTATTGTTGTTCACAGTATTGACAAAGCTGATTAAAAAAATAAAAACCCCCACCACCACCACTTTCCGATTCGTCCCATTTAGAATCGTCCCATTTAGAGGCACCGCGAGGAACGGGCCACGGCGGTGCGACCCGCCGCGCCATTCGCGGGCACGGCGTGTTTGTGTTGCCATGCACGCCGATCGACCAATGGCTGTTGGTAACAAAACTAACAAGCGGGGACAATGTCTCTGTCACGTCTCCGTCTCTCCACGAGTAATTCCTCCCGCATTGCCTCAGCCGCGCGGCCTTTTGGGTGCGCGTAATTTCAAGAGTATTGGTTCAATAAAAGCAACACCCCCGAACCGGTTTTGAAGCACACCGTCTCATCATCATCAGCAGCAGCAGCAGCAGCACCAATCAGGCTCGCTCGAATCAATGCTGGCGAACTGCCTGATCATGACCCCGAGTGTGTGCGCGTACACGTGTGATTGTATGTGTGTACACCTGCATTGGAACACGTGCGCGAGTGTGAACACGTGCGCGAGTGTGTGTGTGTGTACGCGTGCATTGGTACACGTGCGCCCGTGTGAACACGTGCGCGAGTGTGTGTGTGTACACCTGCATTGGAACACGTGCGCGAGTGTGAACACGTGCGCGAGTGTGCCTGCGTGCGTGTGCGTGTGTCCTGACCTCCTGCAGCAGGTGCCAGTGGGCGATGGGTTTGCGCGGGTAGGCCAGCATCTCGTTCCAATGGTCCCTGCCGAGTCCCTGGGAGTCGTTACCGACGCGACACACGCCGATCACCTCGTTGTGTCCCACGCTAATGGCACGCGTGGGAAGGGGGTGAAGTTTGGGGGGTGGGGGGTGGGGGGCACGATCAGTCCACACGACGGGTCCACAAAACAATCCCCACCGCAACTGAACTTTAAACACGGGACTTCGACGATCCAGTTACCACTACGAACCGCTCCTACAACACCGACACCTGGACAGCACTCGTGCCAGTGCGGGTGGTGAGCTGTGATTGTGGTTGTGATCGGTCTAAAGTGAAAAGCACAACCTGCCAGGAGCCGTCTGGCGCTGCAGGAAATTCATTATCTAACGTCGATTTACAATGTGTACAATATGGCCCATTTCCCAAGCGACACAGTTAGGGTTAGTTTTTTTTTTGGCACCGATTTCCATTCAATTCATTGCTGTGCATTACTTAACATTCGTTTGATTGGACTTTGGTCAATTCGGTGACCCGAGTGACGCTCGCGAACGAGACTCATCCTGGTCACTCGCGGTCTCAGCTGGTGACACAAAATCAACTTGAACGGTCTCTCACACCCGACTCGTGTACACCAGGGACTCGTGTCCCACCCTGGACCACGTGTCCCACCCTGGACCACGTGTCCCACCCTGGACCACGTGTCCCACCCTGGACCACATGTCCCACCCAGGAACCCGTGTCCCACCCTGGACCACGTGTCCCACCCTGGACCACGTGTCCCACCCAGGGACTCGTGTCCCACCCTGGACCACGTGTCCCACCCTGGACCACGTGTCCCACCCTGGACCACGTGTCCCACCCTGGACCACGTGTCCCACCCAGGTACTCGTGTCCCACCCTGGACCACGTGTCCCACCCTGGACCACGTGTCCCACCCAGGGACTCGTGTCCCACCCAGGACCACGTGTCCCACCCAGGACCACGTGTCCCACCCTGGACCACGTGTCCCACCCTGGACCACGTGTCCCACCCAGGGACTCGTGTCCCACCCTGGACCACGTGTCCCACCCTGGACCACGTGTCCCACCCAGGGACTCGTGTCCCACCCTGGACCACGTGTCCCACCCTGGACCACGTGTCCCACCCAGGACCTCGTGTCCCACCCAGGGACTCGTGTCCCACCCTGGACCACGTGTCCCACCCTGGACCACGTGTCCCACCCAGGCCCACGTGTCCCACCCTGGACCTCGCGTACCAACATCTCGGCTCTTCAGCAGAAGCCCAGCAGCTAATCCAGGGGTCGACAACCACAACAACAGGAGCGGAAATTTCGTTTCAAATTCGGTCAAACAAAACAACAACAAAAAACACCGAACATTTAAAAAGCCACAATGCACTGCGGTGGTGAATTACGAGACGGTGGTCCTCAATAAATGGCGTCACGAAGCCAGTCCTCAAAGAGTCGCTCGCGGCTCCAGAGCCGCAGGTTGCCGACCCCCCCCCACCCCCCCGAGCTGAACCAAGCCGCCTCCGCGTCCCATCGCCTCGGCGGCGACACGAACCCAGAGCTCACCGGTCGTAGTCGACCACGGCGATGAGGAGGCACACTTGGTCGACGCTCTCGGGCGGAACGTCGAACACGATGGCCTCGTTGTACACCGGGTTCAGCGTGCTCTTCTTGGTGGACGTCTTGCGCTTCTTCAGCCTCCGCCCGTCGCACATCAGCGACACCTTCACGTACGGGTCTGAGCGGCGGCAGCGGAGATCGTGAGAGAGCAACCAAGGTGGTGGTGGCGGTGGTGGCGGTGGTGGTGGTGGTGGGAGTGATGGCGGCGGTGGTGGCGGTGGTGGGAGTGGTGGCGGCGGTGGTGGCGGTGGTGGCGGTGGTGGTGGTGGCGGCGGTGTTTGTGGTGGCCGTTGTGATGGTGGTGCTGGCACAGTGCTTTTGGTAGTATTGCACTGTGGTGGTGGTGGTAGTGGTGGTCACTGTGGTGGTGGTAGTGGTCACTGTGGTGGTGGTAGTGGTCACTGTGGTGGTGGTCACTGTGGTGGTGGTAGTGGTAGTGGTCACTGTGGTGGTGGTAGAGGCCACTGTGGTGACTGTGGTGGTAGTGGTCACTGTGGTGGTGGTGGTAGTAGTCACTGTGGTGGTGGTGGTGGTGGTAGTGGTCACTGTGGTGGTGGTGGTGGTAGTGGTCACTGTGGTGGTGGTGGTGGTGGTGGTCACTGTGGTGGTGGTGGTAGTGGCCACTGTGGTGGTGGTGGTAGTGGTTACTGTGGTGGTGGTAGTGGTGACTGTGGTGGTGGTAGTGGTCACTGTGGTGGTGGTAGTGGTGACTGTGGTGGTGGTAGTGGTCACTGTGGTGGTGGTAGTGGTCGCTGTGGTGGTGGTAGTGGTAGTGGTCACTGTGGTGGTGGTGGTAGTGGTCACTGTGGTGGTGGTGGTAGTGGTCACTGTGGTGGTGGTGGTGGTCACTGTGGTGGTGGTGGTGGTGGTCACTGTGGTGGTGGTGGTGGTGGTAGTGGCCACTGTGGTGGTGGTGGTAGTGGTTACTGTGGTGGTGGTAGTGGTGACTGTGGTGGTGGTAGTGGTCACTGTGGTGGTGGTAGTGGTGACTGTGGTGGTGGTAGTGGTCACTGTGGTGGTGGTAGTGGTCGCTGTGGTGGTGGTAGTGGTAGTGGTCACTGTGGTGGTGGTGGTAGTGGTCACTGTGGTGGTGGTGGTAGTGGTCACTGTGGTGGTGGTGGTAGTGGTCACTGTGGTGGTGGTAGTGGTCACTGTGGTGGTGGTGGTGGTGGTCACTGTGGTGGTGGTGGTAGTGGTCACTGTGGTGGTGGTGGTGGTAGTGGTCACTGTGGTGGTGGTGGTAGTGGTCACTGTGGTGGAGGTAGTGGTCACTGTGGTGGTGGTGGTGGTGGTAGTGGTCACTGTGGTGGTGGTGGTAGTGGTCACTGTGGTGGTGGTGGTGGTGGTCACTGTGGTGGTGGTGGTAGTGGTCACTGTGGTGGTGGTGGTAGTGGTCACTGTGGTGGTGGTGGTGGTGGTGGTAGTGGTCACTGTGGTGGTGGTGGTAGTGGTCACTGTGGTGGTGGTAGTGGTGGTCACTGTGGTGGTGGTAGTGGTCACTGTGGTGGTGGTAGTGGTCACTGTGGTGGTGGTGGTAGTGGTCACTGTGGTGGTGGTGGTAGTGGTCACTGTGGTGGTGGTAGTGGTCACTGTGGTGGTGGTAGTAGTGGTCACTGTGGTGGTGGTGGTAGTGGTCACTGTGGTGGTGGTGGTGGTCACTGTGGTGGTGGTAGTGGTCACTGTGGTGGTGGTGGTAGTGGTCACTGTGGTGGTGGTGGTAGTGGTCACTGTAGTGGTGGTGGTAGTGGTCACTGTGGTGGTGGTGGTAGTGGTCACTGTGGTGGTGGTAGTGGTCACTGTGGTGGTGGTGGTAGTGGTCACTGTGGTGGTGGTGGTAGTGGTCACTGTGGTGGTGGTGGTAGTGGTCACTGTGGTGGTGGTGGTGGTAGTGGTCACTGTGGTGGTGGTGGTAGTGGTCACTGTGGTGGTGGTGGTCACTGTGGTCGTGGTGGTAGTGGTCACTGTGGTGGTGGTGGTAGTGGTCACTGTGGTGGTGGTGGTGGTAGTGGTCACTGTGGTGGTGGTAGTGGTCACTGTGGTGGTGGTGGTGGTGGTGGTAGTGGTCACTGTGGTGGTGGTGGTAGTGGTCACTGTGGTGGTGGTGGTGGTCACTGTGGTGGTGGTGGTAGTGGTCACTGTGGTGGTGGTGGTAGTGGTCACTGTGGTGGTGGTGGTGGTAGTGGTCACTGTGGTGGTGGTGGTAGTGGTCACTGTGGTGGTGGTGGTAGTGGTCACTGTGGTGGTGGTGGTAGTGGTCACTGTGGTGGTGGTGGTGGTAGTGGTCACTGTGGTGGTGGTGGTAGTGGTCACTGTGGTGGTGGTGGTGGTCACTGTGGTGGTGGTGGTAGTGGTCACTGTGGTGGTGGTGGTAGTGGTCACTGTGGTGGTGGTGGTGGTAGTGGTCACTGTGGTGGTGGTGGTAGTGGTCACTGTGGTGGTGGTAGTGGTGGTCACTGTGGTGGTGGTGGTAGTGGTCACTGTGGTGGTGATGGTGGTGGTAGTGGTAGTGGTCACTGTGGTGGTGGTAGTGGTCACTGTGGTGGTGGTGGTGGTGGTCACTGTGGTGGTGGTAGTGGTCACTGTGGTGGTGGTGGTAGTGGTCAATGTGGTGCTGGTGGTAGTGGTCACTGTGGTGGTGGTGGTGGTGGTGGTGGTAGTGGTAGTGGTCACTGTGGTGGTGGTAGTGGTCACTGTGGTGGTGGTGGTGGTGGTCACTGTGGTGGTGGTAGTGGTCACTGTGGTGGTGGTGGTAGTGGTCACTGTGGTGGTGGTGGTGGTGGTAGTGGTAGTGGTCACTGTGGTGGTGGTGGTAGTGGTCACTGTGGTGGTGGTGGTGGTAGTGGTAGTGGTCACTGTGGTGGTGGTAGTGGTCACTGTGGTTGTGGTGGTAGTGGTCAATGTGGTGGTGGTGGTGGTGGTGGTAGTGGTAGTGGTCACTGTGGTGGTGGTAGTGGTCACTGTGGTGGTGGTGGTAGTGGTTACTGTGGTGGTGGTGGTAGTGGTCACTGTGGTGGTGGTGGTGGTGGTAGTGGTAGTGGTCACTGTGGTGGTGGTAGTGGTCAATGTGGTGGTGGTGGTGGTGGTGGTAGTGGTAGTGGGCACTGTGGTGGTGGTAGTGGTCACTGTGGTGGTGGTGGTAGTGGTCAATGTGGTGGTGGTGGTGGTGGTAGTGGTCACTGTGGTGGTGGTAGTGGTCACTGTGGTGGTGGTAGTGGTCACTGTGGTGGTGGTGGTAGTGGTCACTGTGGTGGTGGTAGTGGTCACTGTGGTGGTGGTGGTAGTGGTCACTGTGGTGGTGGTGGTAGTGGTCACTGTGGTGGTGGTGGTGGTGGTAGTGGTAGTGGTCACTGTGGTGGTGGTAGTGGTCACTGTGGTGGTGGTGGTAGTGGTCAATGTGGTGGTGGTGGTGGTAGTGGTCACTGTGGTGGTGGTAGTGGTCACTGTGGTGGTGGTAGTGGTCACTGTGGTGGTGGTGGTAGTGGTCAATGTGGTGGTGGTGGTAGTGGTCACTGTGGTGGTGGTGGTGGTGGTAGTGGTCACTGTGGTGGTGGTGGTAGTGGTCACTGTGGTGGTAGTGGTCACTGTGGTGGTGGTGGTGGTGGTAGTGGTCACTGTGATGGTGGTGGTAGTGGTCACTGTGGTGGTGGTGGTGGTAGTGGTCACTGTGATGGTGGTGGTAGTGGTCACTGTGGTGGTGGTAGTGGTCACTGTGGTGGTGGTGGTAGTGGTCACTGTGGTGGTGGTAGTGGTCACTGTGGTGGTGGTAGTGGTCACTGTGGTGGTGGTGGTGGTAGTGGTCACTGTGGTGGTGGTAGTGGTCACTGTGGTGGTCGTAGTGGCCACTGTGGTGGTGGTAGTGGTCACTGTGGTGGTGGTGGTGGTAGTGGTCACTGTGGTGGTGGTGGTAGTGGTCACTGTGGTGGTGGTGGTAGTGGTCACTGTGGTGGTGGTAGTGGTCACTGTGGTGGTGGTGGTAGTGGTCACTGTGGTGGTGGTAGTGGTCACTGTGGTGGTGGTAGTGGTCACTGTGGTGGTGGTAGTGGTCACTGTGGTGGTGGTAGTGGTGACTGTGGTGGTGGTAGTAGTGGTCACTGTGGTGGTGGTGGTAGTGGTCACTGTGGTGGGGGTGGTGGTGGTCACTGTGGTGGTGGTAGTGGTCACTGTGGTGGTGGTGGTAGTGGTCACTGTGGTGGTGGTGGTAGTGGTCACTGTGGTGGTGGTGGTGACTGTGGTGGTGGTAGTGGTCACTGTGGTGGTGGTAGTGGTCACTGTGTTGGTGGTGGTAGTGGTTACTGTGGTGGTGGTAGTGGTGACTGTGGTGGTGGTGGTAGTGGTCACTGTGGTGGTGGTAGTGGTCACTGTGGTAGTGGTGGGGGTGGTCACTGTGGTGGTGGTGGTAGTGGTCACTGTGGTGGTGGTGGTGGTGGGGGTGGTCACTGTGGTGGTGGTAGTGGTCACTGTGGTGGTGGTGGTAGTGGTCACTGTAGTGGTGGTGGTAGTGGTCACTGTAGTGGTGGTAGTGGTCACTGTGGTGGTGGTGGTAGTGGTCACTGTGGTGGTGGTAGTGGTCACTGTGGTGGTGGTGGTGGTAGTGGTCACTGTGGTGGTGGTGGTAGTGGTCACTGTGGTGGTGGTAGTGGTCACTGTGGTGGTGGTGGTAGTGGTCACTGTAGTGGTGGTAGTGGTCACTGTGGTGGTGGTGGTGGTAGTGGTCACTGTGGTGGTGGTAGTGGTCACTGTGGTGGTGGTGGTAGTGGTCACTGTGGTGGTGGTGGTAGTGGTCACTGTGGTGGTGGTAGTGGTAGTGGTCACTGTGGTGGTGGTAGTGGTCACTGTGGTGGTGGTGGTAGTGGTCACTGTGGTGGTGGTGGTGGTAGTGGTCACTGTGGTGGTGGTAGTGGTCACTGTGATGGTGGTGGTAGTGGTCACTGTGGTGGTGGTGGTGGTGGTAGTGGTCAATGTGGTGGTGGTGGTAGTGGTCACTGTGGTGGTGGTGGTAGTGGTCACTGTGGTGGTGGTGGTGGTAGTGGTCACTGTGGTGGTGGTAGTGGTCACTGTAGTGGTGGTAGTGGTCACTGTGGTGGTTTTAGTGGTCACTGTGGTGGTGGTGGTAGTGGTCACTGTGGTGGTGGTGGTGGTAGTGGTCACTGTGGTGGTGGTAGTGGTCACTGTAGTGGTGGTAGTGGTCACTGTGGTGGTTTTAGTGGTCACTGTGGTGGTGGTGGTAGTGGTCACTGTGGTGGTGGTGGTAGTGGTCACTGTGGTGGTGGTGGTGGTAGTGGTCACTGTGGTGGTGGTGGTACTGGTCACTGTGGTGGTGGTGGTGGTGGTAGTGGTCACTGTGGTGGTGGTGGTGGTGGTAGTGGTCACTGTGGTGGTGGTAGTGGCCACTGTGGTGGTGGTGGTTGTGGTCACTGTGGTGGTGGTGGTTGTGGTCACTGTGGTGGTGGTGGTAGTGGTCACTGTGGTGGTGGTAGTGGTCACTGTGGTGGTGGTGGTACTGGTCACTGTGGTGGTGGTGGTGGTAGTGGTCACTGTGGTGGTGGTAGTGGTCACTGTCGTGGTGGTAGTGGTCACTGTGGTGGTGGTGGTCACTGTGGTGGTGGTGGTAGTGGTCACTGTGGTGGTGGTAGTGGTCACTGTGGTGGTGGTGGTGGTAGTGGTGACTGTGGTGGTGGTAGTGGTCACTGTGGTGGTGGTGGTGGTGGTGGTAGTGGTCACTGTGGTGGTGGTAGTGGTCACTGTGGTGGTGGTGGTAGTGGTCACTGTGGTGGTGGTGGTGGTAGTGGTCACTGTGTTGGTGGTGGTAGTGGTCACTGTGGTGGTGGTAGTGGTCACTGTGGTGGTGGTGGTAGTGGTCACTGTGGTGGTGGTGGTAGTGGTCACTGTGGTGGTGGTGGTAGTGGTCACTGGTGTAGCGGTTACCGCGCTGCGCTGCACGAAAACCGCGACCCGAGTTCGATTTCCCACTCACGGACGGCCACCAACACCCGTGGCGAATATCAACACCGGTTCTGGGTCTCCACTAGGTTGACTCAGCCTTAAATGTTTACCTGGTGCAGTGTGTAAATATCAGCACCGGGGAGACAAAGGTGGCCGGGCGTAGTGCTGGCCACCCACCCCCTCATGTTACATACCGACCTTCATAGGTGTTCACGAACAGCTCTTGCCCCAACAGTCTGTTAAGGCTATACGTGGGATATGTTTTCTTGGTATTGGTGATATCAGTGGTGGTGGTGGTGGTCGCTGGTGAATGCTTTTGGTAACAGTAGTGATAGACATAGGAGTGACTGTGGTGATGGAGGTGGTAATGGCAGTCATTTTAGTGGTGGTGTGGTGACAGTGGTGGTAGTAATGGCAGATCTTGGGATAGTGGTTCCAGTGGTAATGGTGGTTGTCACTGCATTGGTGACGGTTATCATGATGGTAGTGGTTCTGGTGGTGGTGATGGTGATGATGCTGGTAGTGAGCGGTGCTGCTGGTACCGATGTTGGTGGTGGCCGTGATGTCAGCGTGGTGGCGATGCCAGCGATTGCGGTGGTGCCGGTGACGATGGTGCTGATGGCGTTTTACGTCGCTCTATCGTAGCTGTGGCCATCGCGTGACTGCAGTCAACGTGACGTCGATGACGATAGCCAGGGCGGTATCGGCGGCGGTGACGGTGACAAGGTGGTGCGTCGCGGAATTGTGCGCGATGCCAATCATTCCGCTAGCGGCCGACCTCCGCGACCCTCCTCCCCGCGCTCTTTGGACAAGGACGCTGACCGATAAATATTAAATTGGCGACGTGAATTACTTTTCTTCCTGCAAGGAAGGACATTTGACCGAGCCGCAAATGGTTTTCATTGTGAGCAGCGAGCCGCAGCGCGTGGAGGGAGTGGGGGAGCGAGCGAGTGGGAGAGCAAGCGAACGTGCATCCCCCACACACCGCCCCCCCCCCCCCCCCCGAGAAGAATTGTTGATACACGTGGGTGAAGGAGCCAGAGAGATAGAACGCCCCTATTGGTAGGAGGAGAGAAATTAAAAATAAACCCCGCACGCTAATAATCCGGCGTGTGTGTGCGTCCGTGGGCCTGCGCACAGCGATGTGGCGTGTGCAGCGACGCGCGGCGGGAACGCGACGTGTCAATCGTAATGAGCCACGCATGTGACGGACTGCACGGGCACAACGCCTCGCGTAGCGCGCGCTGCATCGACAAGTTGGGTAATTCATGAACACACCGCCCGTAGTGCGAACGCTTCACGCGTAGTACTAATGCAACACGCATAACCCGAATAAACCACATGTAGCCCTTTACAGACCACCTCTAGCCCGAATACACAACCCATAGGAGATCTATGATATCTACTTCCACAGGCCATTCCCAATGGACCACTCTACGAGGCCCCCCTAATGAGCAGCTATCTCTGTCTTGTGACAGTGCATCCATAGCCAGGGATTATTATCAGACGGGTCTCTCCGGGTCGGCAACTCAGAAGAGATTTCTGCACCCGGCACACCACGTGCAGTGTACCTCTCGCTATGGCTGCAGCTACCGCTAGCCGGCACTAGCCGCGTGCCAGCTACCGCTAGGCACGTGCCGGCTACTCCGGGTCACCCCTCCTCTCCTCCCCTCAGCCACCCGGAAGACTGTCAGTGAGGGTTTAAGTTCTGCCTGGAGCACACTTTTAATGGAATTTGAGGACATTTATTGCATGCGAGTTCATAACGCCTTTCTTTGCTGGGCAAAAGTTTTCAATAAATACAATAATTAACCTGATATGAGTTTTTACAATTTGTGTCTACGATCAGACACTAACCACTAATCCAAACATTTGTATTTTTCCGCCAAAAACTAATTGTCATCGACTTTATTCAACTTCTTATATTTAAAGACGAACCCATCGGAAACTGCTTCATTTAAAGATTCGGGTTTTATGAGAAAGAACAAACATGAATGTATGTAGTACTCTATAAGGGGAGTTCTTAGCTTTTACCGTTTTCAAATGATTCAGATCATCAAGTGTGTATTTTTATCGTTGAAAACCGCTTGAATCCGAAATATATCAAAGACAATAAAAGATAGCACCAATTGTTCTCGCTTTAATTGCATTTTCTGTTTAAATCTCTATAAAAAAAAAGGCAATGTTATATTTTGAACGGTTTCTGAATGACACCAGGCACAAACATGTTTATAGGGCACTGAAAATCGAGATTTGGGGGCCTTCAAATGAAAAATCTCAGATTTTCAGATTTCTCCTGTTGTTTGTGTCCTAAAAGCTACCTATGTACCAAATTTCCGCTTTCTACCTTGTGCGGAAGTACCTTGAAGGTTTTTGAAACATACAGATCAAGGTCTTATAGAGATATATTTTTTACAAATACATACGTATATATATTTAGATTCCATTGGGAACTCCAACAGCGAGCAGCGGACCACCACCTTGTGGCAAAAAGAGCATTCCCACGGGCAGACGCTGCGTGGGAACTCACCAGAGGCCCCCGTGATGTCCATGGCTTTGAGGTTGCGAGCCTTGATGACGGTGAGCGTGAGGCGCCCGGCGGTGGGGAGGTAGCAGAGCGAGAACATCAACTCCCCCAGGTCATCCTTCTCCTAGTACCACACACGGGCACACAGACACAAAGATCCCCCGCCGCGTAGCCTTCAATGGACTGTTGGGGCAAGCGTGGACAGCGAGCAGCAGCAGCAGCTGTGAAGGCCGGCACAGTGCACGAGGCGGTTGGTGGCAAATTCTCGCCCGCACGGCCGGCCGCCTTTGTCTCCACAGTGCTCATGTATACACACCGTACCAGGTACTCATTTTAAGGCCGATTTGACCTATGAGATGTCCAGGACCGGTTCAGATTATCCGTTATTGAGGTCGCCTGTGAGCAGGAATCGAACTGAGGCCGCCGGCTCCCTCTACGCACAGGGCACCACGGTGGCGAGATAGTAACTACCTCGCCTGATACACAGGAGGTTGTGGGTTCGATCCCGACTCTGACGCCTGTATATTTGGAGTTTGCATGCTCTCCCTGTGGTTCCGTGGATTTTTCTCCGGGTCCTCCAGTTTTCCGCTCCACATTTATAAACATGTGTTTAGAGTATATATTCTTAGCTCTTTTGGTAAAGTCACGTTGAAGGGAAACAATAAAATAATAAAATATATATAAAACAATACAAATTCTCACGACGTTTCGACCATAACACAAACGGTCGTCATCAGGTGTGTCGGTTTGCATTAACTTATTTATTTTTAAACGGTGTATTTATTTATAAAAAAACGTCAGCGCCATGCGCAGCGATTTGACAGTTTATTTAGAAGGACTAGTCCATCAATGTTCTGAAAAGAGGAGGGGGGAGACGAAAAATTCATGTATGGTGTCTGAAAGCCACTGTAAGCGTGAACAATCAATTAAGACCTGAAATGGTTAATCAAATCTTTCCAATGATTGCTAAGCCAGAATCCATCTTCTCGGTTGAAATTGTCTCTGTGCTTGTATATGTGGATAGCCTCATGAACGAATCTCTCATGGTAGCTAGATGGCTTACAAAGAACCTTTGTCATGGAAAAGTCAATGTCATGTGAGCCTACTGAATTATAACAATGATCTGCCACGGCCGAGGTGTTGGTCCTACCGTGTTTAAGGTCTGCTTTGTGTTCACGAATGCAGTCCGAGACATGGCGTTTGGTTTCTCCAATGTAACTACTACCACAGAGGCAACTTAAACCAAACGCCATGTCTCGGACCGCATTCGTGAACACAAAGCAGACCTTAAACACGGTAGGACCAACACCTCGGCCGTGGCAGATCATTGTTATAATTCAGTAGGCTCACATGACATTGACTTTTCCAAGACAGAGGTTCTTTGTAAGCCATCTGGCTACCATGAGAGATTCGTTCATGAGGCTATCCACATATACAGGCACAGAGACAATTTCAACCGAGAAGATGGATTCTGGCTTAGCAATCATTGGAAAGATTTGATTAACCATTTCAGGTCTTAATTGATTGTTCACGCTTACAGTGGCTTTCAGACAGCATACATTAATTTTTCGTCCTCCCCCTCCTCTTTTCAGAACAAAGATGGACTAGTCCTTCTAAATAAACTGCCAAATCACTGCGCGTGGCGCTGACGTTTTTTTTATAAATAAATAAATACACCATATAGGAATAGGTTTTACCCTTTTAACTGGCACAAAAACTGACACCTTTATTCAAGGCATCATGCTTGCAATAACCACAACACAAGCAGTCAAAATGCAATCTTTTTTGTTTGCATTTTGACTGCTTGTGTTGTGGTTATTGCAAACGTGATGCCTTGAATAAAGGTGTCAGTTTTTGTGCCAGTTAAAAGGGTAAAACCTATTCCTATATCTTGTTTCTGGCAAAGGAGGTCTCATAAAATAAATACACCGTTTAAAAATAAATAAATGCAAACCGACACACCTGATGACGACCGTTTGTGTTATGGTCGAAACGTCGTGAGAATTTTTATTGTTTTATATGTATTTTATTATTTTATTGTTTCCCTTCAACGTGACTTTACCGAAAGAGCTAAGAATATTAATTACTGCAGTCACGAAAGCTTTAAATCAAAATGTGTTTAGAGTATTTGGGGCTGTTATACATTTCTATATGGTAAACCACCTCGTTGAGCTCTCATTTGTGGCCAAGTCGCTGAAAAAAGAGCTATATAGCTCAGTGGGCCTTACATCGTAAAATACAAAGTTTAGTTTAAAAAGTAAAAAAAGAATTAGTTTAGATTAGACACACGAACAGACACACACATTAGCGACACGTCACCCCCTCGCCGCAGAAAGAAATCCCACTCAACCCCCTCTCCACCATCACCAAAACCACCACCACTCGTCCTCCGTTCAACTCCACTACAAATTCAGCGAGCGAGTGAGCGAGCGTCCTCCATCACCACCTCCTCGGCCGCGTGCGCAGCCGCGGGCCTCCTACCGATGCGACGCACTCAATGTCTCTCCAGAGCGAGGTCTCTCGCGACAGGTCCGACTCCTCGAACAAGTTGTCCACCACCACCTGGCCGATGGTGTCATGGCGCGAGAAGCGGTCGAAGTCGTAGACACTGAAGTGCAGGCGCCGCGCGGGCAGCTCCGCGTACGGCACGAAGAACTGGAAGGTCTCTTCGAACACGGGGTTGAGCGTCTTGCGGTGCACCTTGGTCTGGTACTTGCGCTTGCGATCGGGCAGCAGGTAGATCTTCACGTAGGGGTCCGAAGTGCCCGAGAAGTCCTTGGCGGGCAGCTCGGCGGCACGGCACACCCTCACAAGCAGCTGCTCCATCTCGTAGTCGTAGTGCAGCGCGAAGTTCAGCTTGCCCGCCAGCGTTCGCCCGTCGTTGGCGGCCGTCGTCCCGCAGCCTCCGTCGGCGTCGTCGCCCTCGACGGAGCGCTGCTTGTACAGCTCGGGCTTGATGCGCCCGATGTCGAGGGGGGACGGCCGCCGCGTCGCCGGGCTCGGCGGGGTGCCCATCACCTCCAGATGGGACAGGTTGAGCTGCCGTGGCAGCTGCCGCCGGAACGACGTGTGGCTGTGGGGAGACAGCGGGAGAGAGAGGGAGAGAGAGAGTGAGAAGGAGAGTGAACCTCACCTTGACATGCTTGGCCTCCGCGACATTGTTCTCTCTGTGACCGGGCACGGTGGCTCACTGGGAGGAGCACGTGGGCTCGGTGGCCTGGTGTGGTGGCTCACTGGGAGGAGCACGTGGGCTCTGTGGCCTGGTGTGGTGGCTCACTGGGAGGAGCACGTGGGCTCTGTGGCCTGGTGTGGTGGCTCACTGGGAGGAGCACGTGGGCTCGGTGGCCTGGTGTGGTGGCTCACCGGGAGGAGGACGTGGGCTCGGTGACCTGGTGTGGTGGCTCACCGGGAGGAGCACGTGGGCTCTGTGGCCTGGTGTGGTGGCTCACCGGGAGGAGCACGTGGGCTCAGTGGCCTGGTGTGGTGGCTCACCGGGAGGAGGACGTGGGCTCGGTGACCTGGCGCTGGATGCGGGCGCTGTCAGAGCGACTGTCGGCGCCGTGTCCGGCACGCTGCACGTCCGCGGGGATGTCGGGCGACGTGTGGCTGATCTTGATTGCCTGCTGCTCACCAATGCGCGTCACGGTTCCGCCACTGCCGCCACTACCGCTGAGGATCTCCACCCGCTTGTTCCGCGCCGAGGGCTGCTCGCCTGCACCTTGGTGATGGTGGTGAGTGGTAGTGGTGGTAGGTGGTGATTCGTAGTGATGGTGTCGGTAGGGGTATATATGGTGGTGGTGGTGATGGTCGTGATGGTGGTGGTAGATGGTGAGTGGTAGTGATGGTTGTGGTGACAGGGGTGAGTTGGTGGTGATGGTGGTAGTGTTTGTGTCGGTAGGGGTGTAAAGTGGTGGTGGTAATGTTTGGTGGTTATGATTACGGTAGTGATGGTGGTGATTGTGGTGATGATGAGGTTGATGGCGTTGATGGTGATTGTTACAATTATTGGTATGGTCATCATCATGTCACATCATCATGTCATATCATCATGTCACATCATGATCAATGGTGAGAGTTTGAGAAGGGCTTCATCCAGAAGTTGACAGATCATGGATAATGATGATGATGATGAGTTATCACTAGCATTATGACTATCATCATGGCCATGATCTTTCACTGACATCATAATCATCAGTGCACAATGCATGGGCAATGCAGTTGCAGCCAAACGCGTGGATCATGAATGGAGCTGGGGCCGGTGGATTCATTGGCATCGTGTGGGACAGGACAGATGTGACTACAGACTTCACACCAGTGGTGTATTAACTATATTGTCGGCTCAGGAGATGCGACAATCGGTCAGATGGGGCCCCTGTGTTTGATTTGTCTTGCGCGGTCGCACCTCGGCCATTATTCATCGCGGCTCCTCTTGCCTAATCACGTCGTCGTAACGCTCACGGTCTCGAACGTTTAACACCACGGGGGCGCTCCGTCTTCGCAAAATAAGTTTTAGTTTTTTTTGTTGAAAACATATCTCGTGGTAGCTGTCAAGGGGGCCCCAACTCGTAGCTTTGGCCACTGGGAGGGGGGGGGCATTGCACCCCCTGCCTGGCCCTACGCTCGCTACGCTGCAGCTACGCACGAACTCAACTGGACGCGTCGTCGTGTGCAGGAACGCCCTGCCCCACGCAGGCGCGTCCTGTTCCAGCCACCTGCCTCCGCTTTCCGGCGATCTTTCTCTCGCTCAATCCACACCGATCGTCCCAGTGGCTTCAATCACAGTTCAGTGCTGCACTCCGTTTACTAAAAACAAAACATGTAAAGGCACAACCCCGCAATTGCTCTCTCACGTCACCGTTGGCGGAAGAGGAGGCCTCTCTCTCCATACGAGGGAGAGCCAGAGGGTTGTTGGGTGGTTCTGGTTCGAGTGTGGTGAGGGTGAGCCTTGTGGTGAGCGGTAGTGTCGCGGTTAGCGCTCTGCACTACCAACCTGGTTAACCGAGTTCCATTCCTGCTCACCATCAACACAAGTGACGATTATCTGAACCGGTTCTGGGCCTCCCCTTGGTCGACTCAGCCTCAATTGATGACCTGGTGCGATGTGGCAAATAGCGCCACATGGGAGACAAAGGCGGCTGGGCGTGGTGGTGCCCACCCACTTCATCGTGTGCCGTGCCAGCCTTTTTGGGTGCTGCTACTCGCTAACAGCTCTTGCCCCAAGAGTAGGTTAAGGCTACAGGGGGGGAGGGGTGGGGACCTTTGTAATGCCGAGAGGGTGAGGAGGGGTGAGTACCGATGGAAGTGGAGGTGGCTGGCGAGGGCACGGACGAGGCCGCGTGCTGGAGCCGAGGAGTCGATGCCACCGCTCCCACCGCATCCTTGCCAGCCCCATCTACCCCCACCACCACCACCACGGCCACCATCGTGACAACCCGCGCAGTCAACCCCCACAGTTAACCCCCATAGTCAACCCCCACAGTCAACACGCTCGCATCTACACTCTCACGGGTGGCCTCACAAGTTAAACTGTTGAATAGACGACGTTTCGGGAAATGGCCCTTCTAACATAGCAAATGGAGAGAGTGCAATTGTTATGATCCACTCGATTTATCTGGAGTTTCTCCTGAACTCCTGGACATCTGTGAAAAAGAGCTTCATAGCTCATCAAATTCTTCTCGGATAAATATTCTGAATTGCTATGGAAAAGGGCCATTGCCCGAAACATCCATTATTACAGTGTATGTATTCATTAAAAGTCTACAGTATTGTTATTGACTCAGCAGCATCACCGCCACCAGATCACTCGATTCATTCCCACCACGTGGGCTCTCGAGGGTTGTGCTGCGGCTCGCCACGATGTCCTCGGGTCGTGGCGGTGCGCCGACGTTTCTCCGCACGCGCCGAGGAAGAAGCCCCCCCCGGCACGTGACGCTAACTGAACCGACGCGGACGCGAGAGAGACATTTCGAACGCACCTCTGCCGGGGTTGTTGTCCTTGCAGGAGGGCGCGTCTCTGGCCCGGCCGTTCGCTCGGCTCGCCGCGTTCTCGCGCTGCTTGGCGTGCGCCGGCAACGACGCCGCCTTGAGCTTGTGTCGCCATGGCAGCCAGCAGAGCTTCCACGAGACGAAGAGCGACACGAGCAGCAGAGCGATGGCGCAGAAGCTGACGATCACAACCAGTAGGCTCACCGACACATCTACATCCACTGCTCGGTGGGGATGGGGGGCGGGGCACGATGGGGGGGGGGGGGCGGGAGTTGAACGGGAGAGAGACAAGAGAGGGGAGCTGTGTGAATAACGCGATAACTTACAAAGCGCCAGGCAACCTTCCTTTCGGCAATGCTCCTTCCTCACAGCAAATTATTTGGTGATGCTGCTGTGTTGGCAGTGGCGCACAATCACAATTGATAAAAAAAAAAATTGTATATACGTTCCGTGTCAATAACACCAAGTTCTGAAAGGAGACAGAAAAATACTATTAGTAGAATAAGTGACATTTCGGGCAATAGCACTTTTTCATAGCAAATAGATTTCTGAGAGGCGAGCGAGATTTTACATGAACCAGTGGCGGATCATGAGGAGTGGATGGGGGCAATTGACCCCCCCCCCCCTCCAAAATAATCTCATTTATATTTATAGAGACGTCGAGAATTCGTATTTACCAAAGAGAATGGGAAGTGACTGCAGAGGAGAGAGACACCCCGGGCTGTGAGACACCCCGGGCTGTGAGACACCCCGGGCTGTGAGGCACCCCGGGCTGTGAGGCACCCCGGGCTGTGAGACACCCCGGGCTGTGAGACACCCCGGGCCGTGAGACACCCCGGGCTGTGAGACTTGGCGACGTCATAGGGCAGCCTTCATCCATCAGTGGATTAAATAAACAACACGCCTCCTCCACACACCTATTCCTACACATGATTAAAAAATAATGGCACTTCCCGTCGTTTCAGCGGCATTGGTTCAACACTCTGGGTCGGTTTCGACATTCAGTTTCTCATCAGCAGAGTCGGGTTGGCCCAAACCAAATAATCTATCTCTGTAGCAGTGGATAGAGCGTGGCCGCCGATGTCGACGATGACGGTGGTACACGCTGGATGAGCAAACCAGAACATGATCAGAGCAAATCATGCATACAACACGCATACAATGCGTGTTGTATGCGTGATGATATGAAGAAGATGGTAAAGAATGAGACGAGGAGAATGGAACTTTGAATCAAATCACTCCCCTGCTGTATTGCGACAAATTAATTTCGGTGGGGGAGGAGGGGAGGAGGTGGAGGGGATGGGAGAGGGGAAGGAGGGGAGGTGGGAAGGGGGGAGAGGATGAATCATCCCACGCATTTTTTTCACTCTGGAATTTTGTTAAGAATTCAACTTCCTCGTTTGATCAGGACAGCCTCCAACAATGAGTCTCGCGACTCCTTTTCAGGAGGATCCTGCCAAGTATTCACAGGAGGGATGGTGGGATGGGGGGCGTGGGGGTGGCGACGATCACGATGTAGATTCCAAAGTCGTAATTTGTGCGGTGTAATCTGTTTTAAAATTTGGCAAATGTTGACCGTGACGCCAGCGCAGTGGCCTACACAAGTGGCGTACACGATGGCCTACACAGTGGCCTAAGCGGTGGCCTACACGGTGGCCTACACGGCGGCCTATGCAGTGGCCTAAGCGGTGGCCTACACAGAGACCTACACGGTGGCCTACACAGTGACCTACACGGTGGCCTACACGGTGGCCTACACGGTGGCCTAGACGGTGGCCTACACAGTGACCTAGACGGTGGCCTACACAGTGGCCTACGCGGTGGCCTACACGGTGGCATACACAGTAGCATACACAGTGGCCTACACAGTGGCCTACACGATGGCCTACACGGTGGCCTAGGCGGTGGCCTATGCAGTGGCCTAATCGGTGGCCTAGACGGTGGCCTACACAGTGGCATACACGGTGGCCTACACGGTGGCCTACACGGTGGCATACACAGTGGCCTACACGGTGGCCTACACGATGGCATACACAGTGGCCTACACGGTGGCCTACACGGTGGCCTACACGGAGGCCTACACGGTCGCCTACATGATGGCCTACACGATGGCCTACACGGTGGCATACACGGTGGCCTACACGGTGGCAGACACGATGGCCTACACGGTGGCATACACGGTGGCCTACACAGTGGCCTACACGGTGGCCCTCACTTGCAAATGATATCGTGGGAAGTTTAGAGTCCACTTCAAGGGAAGCAGACGGCCGTAGTAGTAGTAGTATTATCATTATGGTAAATACACACCACCACGGTATTAATCGGGGCGGACGCTGGATTCGAACGTAATATTTATTTATTTATTTTATTAACTTTCATTAATTAACGCCGCCAAAGGTTTAGTTCAGATGTGGAGAGTATTGCAACAATCATGATTATCATCATCATTGTTATTATTGTATTATGAATGCCACAGTGGTTGTAATGGTTCGCGCACTGGACTTGCCATGCAGAGCTCGCTGGTTCGACTCAATTTCCCAGCGCGGCAGCTGAATGCAATGGTCGCAGGTGTCGTTAAATTCCCACTCAGCCTCTTTATCCGTGACTACACCACCGTCATTCGATGGGGCAGTTCGCCTCGCGGTGGGGTAACGTGTGGGTCTATTCCCACTTCTTAAACAGACGTCGGGTCAGCGTAGAAAAGTAGGCCAAGATCCCCTCTACAAGGGGCTGTCTAGAGCTCCCTCGAGTGGAGGCCAGCAGTGGCGTGAGCGAGAAACTGCATTGCTGCACATGTGCCTCTGTTACCACCAATTACACGATGTGACACAGTTTTTGTTCCTGGGTAGTAAGTGTTATTTCCTAATTGCTTATGCCTACAAAGTACAGAACGTGACTATTATTCCCCACAAACTTTGCTTATGTGACCAGGACAGTGAAATGTTGAAATGTACCTATTTTCAATGAGAAAACTGGCGGATTTGTGTCTTTTCGTTCACATAAAGTCAGAAAAAAACAACATATGAATAAAAATTTACATGTATTAATACTAAAGTAATACAAAAATTACTACAAAATATTTAGAAGTTAGCAGTTTTTCGAGATTTACGATTATGCTGTAAATCACTTTAACGAATCAGCCCCCAAATGTTGTCTCCCATCATGTTCTCGTTATAATGTCCTTGATAGCGGCGTTCAAAGTCCAGTATATCCTGGTGGAAGGGCTCGCCTTGCTCCTCCGAGTACGCTCCCATGTTCTCCTTGAATTTATCAAGATGAGCATCAAGGATATGGACTTCGAGAGACATCCTACAGCCCAGTGTGCCGTAGTTCTTCACCAGAGTCTCAACCAGGAAGCCACGAACCACTGCGACAAAGCTGTTCCAAGCCGCTTTCTCCTTTACTGGCCGACAGGCATGCCGAAATATGCCTTGTAGGCCTCCCACATCTTACCAGATGCTTCCACAGAGTACTTTTCACTCTTTTCTTGCTGAATTGTCCGCACACAGAGTAAAATGTGTCTGCCAGATGCTTGCAGTTTCTTAATACTATCTCAGTAAAATGCAGATATGTATCCATTTAGGCAGCTGGAACTAAACTGGTGGGCTTAAGGCCCATGTATTTATACTATTTATATTACTGGAAAGTTCTAGAATGTTCTAGAAGTTACTTCAAGTTTACTCAGCACTGAATCTATCAGGAACGTTCTGGAAAATAGTTGCATTTCAAAATATAACTGTCCTGGTCACAAAAGCAAAGTTTGCGAGGGATAATAGCCATTTTCTGTACTTTTGACGCATAAGCAATTAGGAAATAACACTTACTACCCAGGAAAAAAAATGTTACACAGTGTTATCATTCAACAGACTATTGTGGCGATGCTGCGTTGGCAGTCGTGAACACGCACCGCCAAAAACAACACTCAACACATTCGTGAATTACGCTGCCTGTGGTTTTTAAAACAACACATGATGATTCGCGACATTTCGGGCAAATGGCCCTTCTTCATGGCAAACTTTATGTGTTTCTTCATTTGATGCGCTCCGAATAAGGGCCATGGCCTGAAGCTGGTCCCGCAGTGCTGTTGACACCGAACGAATGGAGTTTATTATAATTAAAGGTGGGTGTGACAGGCAGACTCTGCACGTAGTTATTCATTTCAAATTCCAGTTAATCATGGGATTAATCAAATTTATACAAGCGGCCATTTTTCAGTCATGCTAATCGGGGTACGTTTACAATTCACCCCCCTCCGTTGTTTAAAAAAATATGACAGTTTTATTTTTATCTTCTGGTGGTAGTAAAAAAAAAACAATTTTAACCGCGTGCGCGTGACGCGCCAATCCCTCACGCAGACGCGAATGAGAACAGCGGGAGACAGTCCCGGCATGATGGGTAACGACGTATGATTGTTGTTGTTGTTGATGATGATGGTGGTGGTGGGCAGGCGCTCGACGACTGAATGCCGGGACGCGATGATTGACGGCTGATGATTGACGCGAGACAATTGACGGTGATAAGCCACCGTCGTCGTTGAACCGACAAGAGGCAGTGGAATGACGAGGAGGGGGGGGGGGGTGAAGGGTGATCGCCCGCTTTTGTTTGGGGAAGCGCCCTGGGCCGACTGGGTAGGGGGGGGGGGGTGATATTCGGTAATTGTCACGGGACGGATTTGGAAAGCCACTTCACACGAATCAGTCACGCGTTTTCTGGCCACGGTCAATCCACACAGAGACGTTAAATGCCCGGCGGGGGGGGGGGGGGGGGCTCCACAGAACAATTTGGCCATCAAAGCAAACTCCCCCCCCCCCCCATTACTTGGCCGCACCCCCCACCCGTCCCCCCTCCCTTCCCCCACACAGCGCAAAGAAGGGTTCTGAATCACTCTGGTGATGTTTGCTGCATTTTGAGTTGGCAGTGGTGTTGTGCAAACACCAGAAAAAAATCTCAATACACCAGTCTTTAATTTAAAAAAATATATACTGTACATGTAATTGGCGATGTTTCGGGCAATGGTGGATATTCCACATTCCTATGGCGGGCGCGAGACGTTTCATCGTACAAAGACTGCTAACTTCCAAACAAAGCGGTTCTCATTTCGTCGACCCCGGTGGGACGATGATGATGATGGGCTGAACTCCCCCCACCCCAACCTGGAGTCGGACTCGCAACACTCCGACTGTGAGCCACTCGGGCGGTTCCCGTGTCTGGTCCAGCGTCT